TAGAATTCACAGAATTGATGAAACTCAAGTTCTTTTTCTTTAGATCACTGTGCTATCATTTATTTCCAATATATTTTTTTAAAGATTTTATTTATTTATTTGACAGAGAGAGACACAGCGAGAGAGGGAACACAAGCAAGGGGAGTGGGAGAGGGAGAAGCAGGCTTCCTGCAGAGCAGGGAGCCTGATGCGGGGCTCGATCCCAGGACCTTGGGATCATGACCTGAGCCGAAGGCAGACACTTAATGACTGAGCCGCCCAGGTGCCCCTATTTCCAATATTTTATTTAAAAACAGGAATATACAATATCACAGAGGTTAGAGATATGAATTGCACCCAAAACAAACCTAAACAAATTCAAACTCTTAAGAGTTTACCACAGAAAATGAGTGGATGTTGCTGAATCTGCTGTGTATGCCAGGGGCTGGTTATGAAGCTAGTTCTCCAAATTACCTTCTGTATAGAACACACCATTTATTAAAGAGTCTGTCCATCAGGGGCCACTCAGGAGACACACACCACATCAGTAGTTTGAATAGGGAAAATTTTATAAAGAATTATTAACTAGTAGGATTAGCTACAAAGAGAGATAAAGAAAACCCTAAACAGTATGGGACTAACACATGTAGGAAGCAGTTACTATCTCTAGGGCTGGGAGAGAGCACTCAAGTGTATTAATTTTCTATTGCTGAGTGACAAATTAGCACAAAGGTAGCAGTTTAAAACAATACCTATTTAGCTGCTATGGAAAACAGCATGGTAGTTCCTCAAAAAATTAAACCTGGAGTTACCATATGATCCAGCAATTCTACGTCGGGGTATACACCCTAAATAATTACAAATTAGGGACTTGCAGAGTTATTTGTACGCCTGTGCTCATAACAGCATTATACACCATAGCCAAAAGGTGGATGCAAACCCAGTATGCATCGATGGATGAATGAATAAACATGTGTGGTATGTCTATGTAATGGACTATTCTTCAGCCTTAAAAAGGAAGGAAGGAAATTCTGACACATGATATCCTGTAGAACAACCTTGAAAACATACAGAGTGAAATAAGCCAGACACAGAAGGACAAATGCTGTATGTACACATTTACACAAAGTACCTAGAATAGTCAAATTCATAGAGACAAGAAAGTAGAATATTGATTTCTAGCAGCTTTGTGGGAAGACGCAGGGATTATTTAATGGGGAAAGAGTTTCAGTTTGGGATGATGAAAACATTCTGGAGACAGATGGTGGTGATGGTTGCACAACAGTGTGAATGTACTTAATGCCATTGAACTGTACACTTAAAAATGGTTAAAATGGTAATAAATTTTATATTATGTGTATTTTACCACTTTAAAGAATATTTTTTAAAACCCCGCACCTATTTGTTAGCTCACAGTTCTGTAGCTATGACAAGGTAAGGGTAAGACAAGGCTGAGGGGCGCCTGGGTGGCTCAGTTGGTTAAGCGACTGCCTTCGGCTCAGGTCATGATCCCAGAGTCCTGGGATCGAGCCCTGCATCGGGCTCCCTACTCAGCGGGGAGCCTGCTTCTCCCTCTCCCACTCCCCCTGCTTCTGTTCCTGCTCTCCCTATCTCTCTCTCTGTCAAATAAATAAATAAAATCTTAAAAAAAAAAGGGCTGAAATCAAGATGTCAGCCAGACTGACTTCCTGTCTCTCACCTCTAGACCCAGACTTAAAGGACTGATGTGATTAGGTCAGGCTCACCCAGATAATCTCCTTTCCTTAAAGTTGAATATGCTATAAAACATAATCTAATCACAAGATGAGACTTCATATATTCTCAGCCTTAGGGATTACACAGGACATGTACACTGGCGGGGGGTGGGGGGGGGTCCCTGGAGGCCACTTTTTGATTCTACCACATGAAGGAAGGAACAAATTGTAAGATGCTGCCTGCCCAAGGAAGAGATTTGGACCTTGTGGGAGAGGAAGGGCTGTGGTTCACCACACAGTGGTGAAGTACTGAAGGCCAGGGCTGGTGAGCAGAAAACAGTCCATTGGGATGTTTGCAAAACTCTCATTGGGGTACTCCTGAAACCCCCTGGGAAGCCACCTGCTGGCTGCCATGCCCTAACTTTCCAACCAGGAATAGACGCGCCACTCTTTTGCAGTGTCCCTCCAGCACCCTCTGCTGACATAACATTCCAACTGACAGAGGAGAACCATTCACAGGATCCAACTCCAGAATCTCATAGCAGGTCAGAGAAGGAAAAATTTGGAGCTGAAAGACAAAAAAATTGATAACTGGCATAAAGAATAAGCAATAAAATGTGAAAATTTGAAGTTTACATATATACATCTCTATACATACCTATATAACCATTGCAATGATTTTTAGAACTTAAACCAACGAAAGCTTTTTTTTAGGGGAGGAGTATTTTATCATTGACATTGTTAAGAATTTCTGGAGCTTGGTGAAAGTGAAAAACAGATCAATTGATTTTTTTACTTGTTTTAGTGTTTTATTTATTTTTTTAAAGATTTTATTTATTTATTTGACAGAGAGAGGGAACACAAGCATGGGGGGGAGAGGGGGAGGGAGGAAGAAGCAGGCTTCCCACAGAGCAGGGATCATGACCTGAGCTGAAGGCAGACGCTTAATGACTGAGCCACCCAGGCGCCCTGTTTTAGTGTTTTAAAATTCTCTGCAGCAGTGAACACCATACCTGTGCTCAGGGTGGACTGCTTTTTTTTTCCCTGATTGTGTCTCCTCCTCTCTTCCCTCAGAAGTCATCACTGTTGTGAATTTTCTGTTTATCATTCTGTTGCTTTTCTTTAGTTTTGCCTAATATGTTTGTAGCTGTAAACAGTGTATTGTTTCATTGGGTGGATTTCTGAATTTATGTCAGTGGACTTACTGTATGTATTTGCAACTTGCTTTTCCACTGTGTTGTACCACATTCACATTTGAACACTTCTTTAACTTGAACTCAGCATTTTGGGCTGTCCCTTTACCATTCCCTATTATTTGCTCTAGAGTCAGCCCTGATTTCTCCCTCATTGAGGTGGACACCTATTGCTTTTACCTCCACACCATCCTTAAGTCTGGGAATATCTCTCCCTTGTTTTCCTTTGGAGAACCACTCCTCTCTCATGTCCAGGTCCAAGCAGAGAGAATTGTTTTAAAACCCTGAGGAGGTAGGGGCGCCCGGGTGGCTCAGTCGTTAAGTGGCTGCCTTCGGCTCAGGTCGTGGTCCCAGGGTCCTGGGATCGAGCCCCGCATCAGGCTCCCTGCTCGGCGGAGAGCCTGCTTCTCCCTCTCCTTCTCTCTGCTGCTCTGCCTACTTGTGCTCTCTCTCTCTGTGTTAAACAAACAAATAAATAAAAATCTTAAAAAAAAAAAACAAAACCCTGAGGAGGTAAAGAATTTGCCATGCTTGAAATCCAGGTACTGCTCTGTCCAGTATGGTACCTACTAACCACATGTGGCTATTTAAATTTACATAATTGAAAATTACATAAAACATTTGGATCCTCACTTACACTGTCCACATTTGAAGTGCTCAATAGCCACATGTGGCTGGCTGTGGGGTCCCATGTTGGATAGTGCAAATATAGAACATTTCCATTTATCACAGAAAGTTCTCTTGGGTTGGGCTGGTCTAAGATGATTGGAACTTAGTGATCAGGGGGAATGTCAGGAGGTGAGCCTGGAGAGGGGACAGGTACTAGACCCTTGAAGGTCTTGATAGGGAGTTTGGATTTTAAGTCCAGTTGAAAGTCACTGATGGTTTCTAAGCAAGGAAATGACATTGCCTGACTTATGTTTTAAAAGGGGCACTCTGGCCGCTGTGTGTAGAAGCATTGCAAGGAGGCAGAATTGGAAGTGGAGAGCAGAGTGAGGAAGAGAAGGGGGAAGGCTAAGTAGGTTTTTGGAGTGGGCCAGGCAAGTGATGATGGTGTCTTGTGCTGAGTTGTGCTGATGAAACTGTGCTGATGAAACTGGATTGAAATGGGCAGATACCAGAGACATTTAGATGGTGGAACTGATAGAACTTGCTATTGGCGATGACAAGGAGGGAGCTGTGGTGGCCATGAGAGTGGTCCTGCCAACCGTGGGGGAGTGTGATTGATTCACTCCAGATCAGTGGTCTCAACCCTGGCTGTAACTCTGGAATTTTCTGTAGTAGCATTTAAAAATACAAATGCTCAGTCTTCTACCTTGGGAATCTAATATAATTGGCTTTGAGTAGGGCTTGGGCATTTGTATTGTTTTTAAAAGCTCCCCAGGTAATTTTAATATGCATCCAAGGTTGAGAATCACTTTTTTATGTAAAGGGAACATGGAGGACATGTGCTGGGTTCCAGCACAGTAACTGGAACAGAAATTGAGTGGTTTGATGGTATAGTTCAGTTCAGAATAATACCTGATTCCTAAGGCCATGAATACAATAAAATGACCATAAAAAGGAAAAATACAGCTCAAGACATCAGTGGGTAGAGAGTTCCAGCTTCAATGAGAGACTGACTTTGGCAATAGCATTGATATCCATGGTCCTAGCACAGTTATCTGTGGGAAACATCAGTGGAGATATGTTTAATAGGAATGGGCTAACACTTTTGCCATCAGCAGAACACATCACTATAGTTAACAGGAGCAGGAAAGGCAGGAGTGGAAAAGAGATAAGCAATGAGGTTACTGTATTTGACATTGCTTTTGTCTAACAGCATCATTTTCTTGAGAGGACCCTTCTCCCCCTCCTTGCTTTGCAAGTGGAGTTGTCCATCATGGTGTCCCATTTGGGCCACCAGCTGGGTCAGTCAGGATGTAGCTTTCTCCTGGACTCTGTGATTGGTCCAGAGGTGGTTATATACCTCAAAAAGTACCAATCCCTGTCCTTCCATAGGATTTTACATCTGCATGCTACATGACATTGGTATAATTCAGGTTCTTTATGTATTCATTATAAACTGCTGCATAACAAATTACCATAGAAACACAGTGGTTTAAATAATAACAGTATTTATTATCTCTCACAGTTTCTTCAGGTCAGAACTTCAGACACAGCATAGTGGGATGGATTGTCTCTGTCCTATGATGACTGTGTTACTTAGCTGGAAGACTTCACAGCTGGGGACTGGAATCTCTGAAGACTCATCCACCCGTATGTTTGGTTGTTGATGTTGGCTGTCAGGTGAGCCTAATGGGACACTATTGTGTGTCTCTAGCCTCAGGAGGTGGCTGAGCGACGGACCAAAGTCTGATTATCTTCATGCTATTGGGAAACCAGCCCAAACTGGGCTGAGTTCACCAGATCACTCCTGCAAGGTGACTTTCACAGGGACTCCAGAGTCACTGAACACAAAATAGACTGTGTTTTCTGATCCTGAGAAGGCAGGGTGTCATTTAGTCAGCTCAAGAAAAAAAGTTTAGCCCAAAGATAAGTGGAAACCAAATTTGTCTGCCTTTCATCTAAGTCCCAAGGTTGGGAAAAGATCCGGGGAGTGGGGCTGGTTTATGACATCTAACAGGTTGTTAATTACCTTGAATGGGTCCCACGTGATGCTTTTAAGCACATGGCTTTTGCCCAGGGAGGATGGAGTGGGCATTTTGGTTTGGGCCAGGGGCAGGACGTGAGTGAGGTTTTATAGATCCATATCCTCGGCTGTTCTGAGCTCATCCTTGTGATGATGAGGCTGGTGTGGTCAGTGGGCCAGAGGGTATGATCATGGTCAGACCCAAACAGTGAGTGAGACTTCTCATTCCTTTTTATTTTGCTATAACTCAGAAGCATTGGGAGGGGGTGTACTAGGGACGGTGATTTCTTCCCTTGGGTTCCTTCTCCCCGAATGCCACTTCTTCAACAATTTGTTCAAGGTAGGTGGTTATATGATTTATCATCCTAATATGGACACACTGTTAATTACACTGGGACAAGAGGTGCAAATAAAGATCTTACTGGGCTGGGGCACCTGGGTGGCTCAGTCGTTAAGCATCTGCCTTCAGCTCAGGTCATGATCCCAGGGTCCTGGGATCGAGTCCTGCATCAGGCTCCCTGCTCAGCGGGAGGCCTGCTTCTCCCTCTCCCGTTATCCCTGCTTGTATTCCCTCTCTCGCTGTCTTTCTCTCTCTGTCAAATAAATAAATAAATAAATAAATAAATAAAATCAATCTTAAAAAAAAAGGGTTTACTGGACAAATAGAGTTGGAGGATCATCTTAGGTAAGGGTGGCAACATGCTTGTGGAAAGATGTTGGAGAAGGTGTTATGAAAGCAAGACTGACAGGTGTGTCAGGCATTAGAGGGCAGTCAGAGGGTGGAAGCTTCTTAACTGAGCTGGCTTCTGCCTCCAGTCCCTACCATCTGATGGTGGGACTTGGCCACTCCTCTGTAAACTGCCACCTGTCCCCTCCCAGCCTACTGACTCAGTTGACTGGATTTAGGGGGACTTTTCTGAAAAGGTATGTTCATGACATTCGCTGTGCCTTTTTGACTTTTTAATTGATGTATAATGCATATATGGCAAACAAAATTTAAGTATGTTTGCATGTGCATACACCACTAGCCAGATCAAGATTTAGAATGTTTGGCTGGATTATTTGAAGTTCTTTAATCCTGGTGGGAGAAGGGGTTGTTTGTTGTGTTCCCTTCAGCCTCCAAATACCACTGCATTAGTTTTCTATGGCTCCTGTAACACATGACCACAAATGTAGTGGCATAAAACAGCACAGATTTATTATCTTACAGTTCTGGAGGTAAGAAGTCTGAAGCGGGTCTCACTGAGCTAAAATTAAGGCATCAGCAGGGCTGCATTCCTTGTGGAGACTCTAGGAGAGAAACCGTTTCCTTTTTCAGCTTCTGGAGATAACCCCCATTCCTTGGCTCATGGTTCCTGCATCTTCAAACAATCAGTGCTCAGTTCACTGATTTCTTACATTGCATCCCTCTGACACTCACATTTTTTCATCCCTCTTTTATGCTTAAAGACCATTGTGATTGCAGTGGGCTCACCCAGGTAATCCAGGATAATCTCCCCATTTCAAGGTCAGCTGTATAGCAGCCTTAATCCCATTTACAGTCTTAATCCTCCCCTGTCATGAAACATATTTGCAGATTCTGGGGAGTAGGATGTGGACATCATGGTGGGCACCGAATTCTGGCTATCACACATGGCTGTATTATCTGTTCATTAACTAGGAAAAAAAAAAATCCACCTTAACCCATTATACAGTTTTTGCTATCAAGCAGTCCAGATTTCTGTAAGGGGGTTTGGGAGGAAAGAACTTATATGTACTGAACACCGAATGTTGTCTGGTACAAGGTTTTGTGATTTCATAAAGATTACTTCACTTATTCCTCCTGGAAATCTTTGGTGATGGGTAGTTAGGGATGCTTTTGGTTGCAAGGAACTTAGAGCCTGACTTACAGTGGTCTAAATAAACTGGGGGTTGTTTCTGTCATAGAAGAAGTAGTCTGGAGGTAGGCAGCTGCTGACCTTGATTTAGCATCTCAGCAGTGTCAGGACCAGTATCTCTGAGTTCGCATGGCTTTTTCTAACTGCTTATAGCCTCATGGTCAAAAGAGGGCTGCCCCTGCTCCAGGCATCACATCTGTTTTCAAAGCAAAAAAGAGGAAGAAGGAAGGATAGCACCAGCTACAACTGTTCCTTTTATTTATTCATTTTTTTTACCTGCCATTTACTTACTTATTTATTTTTTATTATGTTATGTTAATCACCATACATTATATCATTAGTTTTTCATGTAGTGTTCCATGATTCCTTGTTTGCATATAATACCCAGCGCTCCATGCAGAACGTGCCCTCTTTAATACCCATCACCAGGCTAACCCATCCTCCCACCCCCCTCCCCTCTAGAACCCTCAGTTTGTTTTTCAGAGTCCATAGTCTCTCATGGTTCGTCTCCCCCTCCGTTTCCCCCCCTTTATTAATTTTTAATAAGAAATGCAAAATCTATCCTAGACGTCTGTCTACATATTATGGTGTTAGGTTACATGGCCACTCCTAGTTGCAAGGAAGGCTGGGAAAGTGAGTATGTGATTTTCATCCCTCGTTAGAGTTAGCAAGGGAGAAAGGAATTGGGTAGCCAATCAATTGTGTTTACCAGAGTGCTATTGTTCTCACTTTTATAGGCCTGACTTCTGCCTCCTTTGCCTGAGATCTTTCAGGTTGAAAGTAGAGGAGTCAAGACTCAGATTCCTAAGTTCACACACACACACACACACACACATTCCCCTACCCCACGCTGCATCTTGACAGGTTTTTTTTTTTTAATTAGTGGTTAAATTTATTGAGGTAAAATTTGCATAGATCAAAATGCACAAATCTTAACAGTATGATTTGATGAGTTCTGACAAATGTGTACACCCATGTAACGATCACCCAGATCAAGATAGAGAACATTCATATCATTCCAGAAAGTTCTGTCATGACTCTTTATAGTCAGTGTCCCCTCCCACATCAGACGCAACCACTATTCTGATTTCTATCCCCGTATCTTTGTTTTGCATTTTAAAAGAATTTCATATAAATGAAATCATGTAGCATATACACTTTTGTGTTTGGCTTCTTTCCTTCACCATAAGGTTTTTGAGATTCATCCGTGTTTTGCATGGATCAATAATTTGTTCCCTTTTATTGCCAGTTGTTCCATTGAATGGATGTACCGCAGCTTGTTTATCCGTTCTTCTGTTGATGGTTATTTGGGTTGTTTCCAGTTTTGGCTGTTATTAATAAAGGTGTATGAATGTTCTTGTATAAGTCTTTTTGTGGGCATGTGAGTTCATTTCTCTTGGATGGAAGCTTAGGGGTGGAATTGCTCGGTCATACACTGCATGCATATTGACTTGATTAGAAACTGCTTGGCTGCTTCTTGCTAGTGGCCCTCTTAAAAGCGGGGGAGATGAGGAATGTAGAGAGAGTGTTCTGGGAGGAGAAGGGGTTCAGGGACCTCGAGCAGATACATAAGTTGTGGATCATAGGCATGTGGTATGTGCAGGTTATGAAAATGCATGATGAGGCCAGTTGGGGTTGGAGAACGGCTCCTGAGCCTTAGCCACTCTTTGTCATGTGGGAATAGGAAACCAAGTGTTCCCAGATATTCTGATTTTAATCGATTGGTTCTCAACTTTGGCCACCCATTGCAATCACCTAGGAGCTTTAAAAAAATGCTGATGTCTGCATCCTACCCCTAGAGATTCTAAATGAAAAGGGTAGAGTGTGGCCTGAGTGTCTGGATTTTTAAAAAAGCTCTTCAGGTCATTGTGATGTGTAGCCAGGGGTGAGAACCACTGATCTGAAGCAAGTCCTTCTTTCCTTCTTTAATGTTAAAATGTGAATTCTGGTTTACAATGTCTGGGGTGGGACCTGAGATTCTGCATTTCTGACAAGCTCCCAGTTGGTGCCCATGCTACTGGTCTGGGGCCTCACTTTGAGTAGCAGTGTTTGAAGAGAAGTTACCAATATGGATTTTAAAGTGGGAAATATCCTAATTAGAAAACAAACCAGTGGGCACACCAAACAAGTCTGGGGGCTGGGTCTGCAGGTTGGGTCTGTGGACTACTGATTTAATGTATTTTTCTCTTTAAATATCTTTTTTGGGGATGCCTGGGTAGCTCAGTTGGTTAAGAGTCTGCCTTCAGCTCAGGTCATGATCCCAGGATCCTGGGATTGAGTCCCGCATCAGGCTCCTTGCTCAGCAGGGAGCCTGCTTCTCCTTCTGCCTGCCGCTCCCACTGCTTGTGTTCTTTCTATCTGACAAGTAAATAAAATCTTTTAAAAAAAAGTCTCTTTTGTAGGGTTCCTGTTGTGTCCATGACACAGAGGTCTTGTGAGATCTGAGACAAAGTCCCTAACTTTTAGGGGCTCAGAGTTATGTTGGTCTAGAGGCAGAGATAGACAGGAAGGTGGGTGAGCTCGCAGTCTGTTTGGGGACATGGTAATCTGGTAAATGCCTTGGAACAGTCTTCCCCACACCACCTCAGGGCAATCTCACCCATAATTGGCATACTGGCTTTCCTGCAGATGAGAAGAGGCTAGACAAGGTCCAGACAGCTCCCCATCACACCCCGGCCTTCGGAGCACGCATTTCTACTCTCCCTTTATCAGATCAAAGTCTTCCATCAAGCTGTCTGGTTCTGTCTTATTCAATTAAATTTTTTAATTCAATTTGACCC